AATTTCCCTTGAATGATATAATTTTTATTATATTTCTCTTATACAAAGTAAACTGTTATGTTGAATCTCTTTTCTTAAATACAAAAGTTTTATTTTATTAGATTTCACATTCAAAGATATGTTTAAAAATAATTGTTTTGGGAAATTTTGTTACTGTATTTTGTTAAAATTCTTATGGAAACAAAACCTCACCCAAATTATCATATTTGTATTTATCATTAATATTTTCACATTAATCTGACAGCAAAAGAAAGAACTGAAAGCAATTGAACAGATATAATTACAAAGTGCTGATTGAAAGTAATTGTAAGTTTCAAGATGGTTCCAATTCTGTATTACTTTCTGTGAATATATAAATAAATAATTTATTAAATAATTATAACTATCATGCTATTTTATCTTAGATTACATAATGCATTCATTTCTCTATACACATTCTGGAAAACAATATGAACTGTCATTTACAGGTTTGAAGTTTTTTTAAACATCTTATCTTCATCTAATAATTTATTGATATATGTTGTAAAGGGAGATAAAATCTAATCTAACTTTTTGGCATTTTTCAAGAAAATGTGCTCACTGCTGGTATATTTCAATTCAGAGGTTAGACTTATATCCAGATATCTTAAGTCTTTGTCATTGTTACACTTATCCATAAGTTACTAAAAATCAAGAATAGTTATTCATAAGTTACTAAAAATCAATAATAGTTATTAAGTCAGCATAACAAAAAAAAAAAAAAGAATAAAAACATTAAATTAAATGCATTAGATAATTATCTTTTTGACTATTCCTAGAATATCCTATTTAAATCTATTTTAAATTTGAATTTGATTTCTAAATAACTTTCAAACATGTATTTAGTGAGATAATTTTAGAAAAATTTGTGAAATTTAAATTAAGTTGTGAATACACCTAATTCTTGAAGTTGTGTGATATGTAGTCAGTTTCAAGAACCATGTAAATAATTCTCTTTTGCAGTTTTTTAGTTTAATGTAAATACAGGGTATTTATAAATGAATGGTGTGGTTTTAAAAATTAATAATAAATCTATTTATTACCTTATATGGGCAAACCTTACAGCAACTGTCCAAGTTTTTTATTCACTATCCACTCTTCGCTTGTCATGCTTAAGGCACAGGCATAGCATCACTTTCCAAGATGGTGTCGCAACAGGAAAAGGCCTTCTGTGTGCTCCGTTTTGAGGTGTCCAGATCTGTGATTACAGTGCAGCATGAGTTTCATGCACAGTTTAAGAAAGACCCACCACATAAGAATAACATAGGTAGGTGGCACCAACAGTTTGTGGAAACTGGATGCCTTTGTAAGGGGAACAGTCCTAGTCGACCTCATGTGTCTGATGCAAACATTGAAAGAGTGCGCAAGGCGTTTCAGCAAAGTCCTTGTAAGTCACTTAGTAAAGCAAGCAGGGAATTGTCCATGCCAAAGAATATGGTGTGGAAGGTGTTGCGTAAGTGGCTATGTTTTAAACCATACAAAGTGGGATTAGGGCAGCAGCAGACAACAACCTGCTCCCCTGGCCTCCCCATTCGCCAGATTTAACACCCTGCGATTTCTTTTTGTGGGGGTTTGTTAAAGACCGAGTTTATGTACCATCAATGCCCATGTCCCTTGAGGAACTGTGTGATCGGATAAAGCATGCATTGCAGACAATCACGGAGGACATGCTACATTGTGTATGGGAAGAATGTGATTATTGTGTAGATGTGTGTTGTGTGACCATGGGTGCACATATTGAAGGATTGTGATTAATGAATAAAAAACTTGGACAGTTGCCTCTGCTTATTCTGTAAGGTTTGCCCATATAAGGTAATAAATAGATTTATTATTAATTTTTAAAACCGCACCATTCATTTATAAACACCCTGTATTAATGTAGAGCAGTGTTTTTCAACCTGTGGGTCGCGAAGCCTTACATGGGGGGTCGCAGGCAAAAGAAAAAGACAAGTGTTTGTAGGTCCTACACTACATTAAAAAAACTACAATTTCAGTGAGAAGGCTGTACCTGTTTATTTTACAGTACAATTCGTTTTTTGATTGATATTTAGGTCTCAGCCATGGGTGTAGCCAGGGAGGGGCCTGGGTGGATACGGCCCACCCCAGAAAATTATAGCCGAAAAAGAAATAAAAAGTAGTAAAGTAAAGTAGAAGCTGAAGATTCTGATCCTAAAAAAAAAAAAAGGTCAACAGCTCTCCATGCCCAATGTTATAATTCAAGTAAGTTTCATACTTTATGTGTGTTAAGTTATTGTCAATTCTTCTGAAATTTTCATTTTAATCAACAATAATTTGTCTCAACAGAAAGAAAATTAAATACATAGTTTTTAAAATCACTGTTATAGTTTTAATATGGCCCTAGGGGGTCGCCAGAATTTTTTAACTTGTAAAGGGGTCGCGTATTCAAGAAGGTTGAAAAACACTGATGTAGAGCATTCCAAAATATTCTTCACACATCTAGATTCTGAAAACTGTTCAAAATATCAGTTGAAACATGTAAAAGCATGCATTATATTGTACAACATTATTTTGAAATATTGATAATTTCCAGACAAAGAATATTTAGGCAATTTCTGGGAATACATTTAGCATAAAAATTTACAAAACTTGGCCTCGACTTTGCAAATAAATGACTGCTAATTTCAGGAAGCCAACTTTTATTAATTAAAAGAAATGTTTTCAGTCAAGAACTACCCATCCTCAGCTTAGTCTTAATATTTAACGGATATTTTGTATATTCTATGCCATAACATTCTAAGCTTTTAAATATTAAGATTGTAAGCAGTAGGTCAGATCTTCACTGAAAACATTTCTTTTAATAAAAGTTAGCTTCTCGAAATTAGCAGTCATTTATTCATTTATTTAGAAATGTGTTGTACAATTAATACTAATATTACGTAATTACATTCACTAGACAGGAATGAGAAGAGATGAAGGAAAAGAGAAAAGATAAGCAGAGAACAGAGATGCATCCATTTTTATTTGTTCAATACATGCATCCATTTTTATTTGTTCTTCAAAATTCCCTTTGAATTTCAATGGTATTTTCTAGTGAATTGGTAAGAACTTATATTTTGCTCAGATAAACTAATAGAATTGTAATAATTATCAAAATACTGTAATTGAAATTTTTAAACAATGTGTTTTGAATTATATGCATGTATAAACTGATATTCTGAAGGATGAAATTTCTAGAATTAATTCAAATGAGTGTTTGAATATTTTTGTTGTTCTTTTCCTTCTTTTTTTGAATATCTGTAGTTTATTTTATTTACTTTCTTGAGTCTACTTCTCAGTTTAACTAGTTTTAAAATAAATCAAGTACAGATTTGCATTCAGTTTGTGATTAGTTAGAATTATTCATAAAAATTATCAAATTACTAACATAATGTTTGCTACAAATATTAAGTAATCTGACATTATCTGAAGTAACATCTGAAACAAAAGTTAAAGAGCATAATTAGAACTTGAATAATAAAATAAATTTTAAAACATCTTGAATTGTTAATGTGAATTTTCAGTTTTTTTTTTGGTCTTTGCAAATTTCTGAGAGGTGGGATATTTTCTTCAAATATCTATCTTGTAGATAACATAAGTGTTATTTTACACATTCTCAATTTATGTGGATATAAAACTAGCATATACCTGTGTGAAATTAACATTTTTCACAATTAGTGTAAATAAATCAAATAAGAAAATGAACTGTCAATAAAGAAATATTAAATTCAGTAAAATTATGTACAGGTATTAGTTTAAAAAATTTATAATGTAATTTCACAATAGTTTCTCATAAATTGTAAAAAAAGTTAATTAAATAACCTATGAATATAAAATTAATCTATAATAATTTTGTAAAATAATAGTATTTATGTAACATACTACACATTCTCTATAACATTTAAAATAATAGGTTTTTTTTATATCAACTTGTTTGGATAATTGGAGAATATTTTTGAAAAGTATGCACCTCTTGCATTTATTTTCTTGAATGAATTTCTTAAATTATTAAATATTCAAATTATACAAGATATCTTAAAAAGAAAAAGCATAAAATTTATAAGATTTAAAATTATTGTACCATACCATACATGAGGTTAACATAAATTTTTAATAAGATGGTCATAACAATGATGACAATTATTGACAGTTTAGAAAAAGTATAGTCAGATTGTTTTTATAGTAAATTATATTTATTTTTATGTTAATGTTTAGAAAATTAATGTATGAAGAAATGTATTTTGAAAAATTTTAATTAATTACTTAATACTCTTTCATTTTCTTATTTGATTAAAGTAATTAATGATTATAAACAGAATAGTTAAATTTTAATTTTTCTGTTTTGTACAAGAATTTCTCACCGATAAACACTTTTCATCTTTAAGATATTATTCATCTGAAAATCTATGCCCTATATAATTAAAAAATCAGTTTTATAAATAATTATAATTATAATTTGCTCTTTTTATGATATATTCCTTTATTTTATTACTATTAAAATTAAATGATTAGTTTAATAATGTAGATCAAAAATTATATTACTAAAATGATAAATCATTCTTTTCAGTGAAACTGAATCAATTTCATCACACAATAAAATTGTAATGAATTTGTTAATCAATGAAAAAATATAAGTTAAATATAACTTTCAGTATTTATAATGAAGAAACTTTCATTACATATCAGTCTGAAAGTTTCTTCATTAAGTGATTTCATGATGGATATCTTAAAGAAAAAATGTGCTTAACTGTAAAAATTTTGATTTATATTTTCTACTTGAAGTTCTTTTTTGTATTAAACTGCTAACTATGACTGTTTTCTGTTTTGATTAATAAACTGAAATAAAAAATGAAATATATCACATAATTTTTATCTTTGTACAGTGAGTTAATATTTTGATTGTGAATATATTAATTTTAATTTAGAAAAATAAATATTATTTTAAAATGAATTATTTTATAATAAAACACCAAATATTGATGTAATTTTGTGATTAGAAATATTTTAATTGCCAGACCAGATAAAATAGTAATGGACAGCACAGGGAGCAGTTGCCTTACTTCATACACAAGAATTTCTATTTACGATGACTGTCATTACATCATTTAACACGAAACTAGAAATTTTTGCTTGTATATTGAAATAAGTACTTTTACAATTAAACCAGCCAATTTCAGTTTTGTAAAATACCACACAATAAGGACTGCACTATATTCATCCATTAAATACAGAAGCACCATAACCAAGCAAAGACTAATGACAACAGACATGGCAACTTCATAGACAGAGAGGTATTTTGGTCATTGTGTAGATCCTATTCTTGTGTAAATATCGAAACATCTGGTGCATTCTTTGTGGTAATCATATGAATAATTCAATGACTAATGGTTTGCTAATACGATAAAAGCAGCTGCACCATGTTGTGCAATTGTGCAGTTCGTAAGACCTCACTGTCATTGAAGAATACCATGTTTTCTTTGTAAGACATCAATAGGCTACAAGGTAAGTGTGCAGATACTGCATACCTGATACAAGAATAATACACAGAACAATATTTGGCAATAATAAATTGTGCCAAAACATGAACTTGTGGCACACTAATTGACATGGGCTCCCTGTGTTTGATGCCCAGACACAATCACTCTTGGAAGTTGCAGGAATGATTTTGCAGCAATACAACCAGGAGGGGTTAAGAAGGAAGAAGAAATAGTAGTTAACTAGTTGGTACTACTTGTGAGCTGTCTTGATTTGTTTAATCTTGAACACTGCTTGCCTGATATAATGCTGTTCATCCTAGAGTTAAATTCCACATAGATATTGTAACAGCTAAAATTTGTCTTATGCGACATCTTCAAAAGAGTTAAGATCGCATAATTCATTACCCTAGATAATTCATGGAATTCACAGGCATCATACTTGGAATTGTCTTCGCTATCATTGTTCCGATGTTGATAGTTTTTCCAGGATTTATATCTTGTCAAACACACAAATGCATGTATTGTCATATCACTGCATGTATAATCACATGCTTTGTAAAGAATAAGAGAAATACAATAACTGAGGGTATCAATAAATACCCCTACTCACAGTAGATGCACTCACCCAATGAACAGCATGATTAATACAACATAGAACAGACAAATAACACTGATTACAAAAAGGCACACTTCAGGCTTGGGGCTCTAAACCTGAAGCAGAACCTTTTTGATTTTATATGACATCCATTAAATATTTAAACTATTTTCACATGACTAGTAATTCTAGGAATTTTTTTTCTTACAAACAGATTGTTTAAATCACAACAATGTAATTTGCCACTTTATGTAGAAATAAATGATTATACAAAATAATAATGGGACTTAGGGAGAAAGGAGAGTGCAATACTGTTACTTTGAGGTGACAAGCAAAATACCATAGATGAAAGATCAGGAAATGTTAACTTCTTTTGTGGCATGTGATTGATCTTAAAAATGATGGTTTGAGATCAATATAATCCACATCCTCTCAAATTATTGGCAATGATTACATCAGTAACGGCATCAAATACAAACTGAATATTTGTGGTATCTGTGGCACAAGTCATGTGGCAGTAGATTTCCTTAGTTGTGGACTTATTTTTTGCCTCAAACTGAGCTTGAATGTATGCTGCAGCTTCACCATATTCTTGTGCACCTAAATTATTAAAAATTTATTCATTTATATTTAAGTATATAAATAAGTTACAATTTAATAAATTTTATATATGTATAATAAAAGAAACTTATAGAAAGGAACCATCCATTAATTAATTTACAATTTTTAGTCATTTTTGACTCTCCCACCTTGCATACAATGATGTACTTTTGGCAGATTCCCTCCCCTTTAATTACATGTGTAATATGTGTGATCCTCTTGATATGGAAGAGGTAATTCATAAAATATTTGCAGAACTTTTTAAACTGATAATTTATTCAAATATCTTGTAAGTAGGCTTATAAAAACAAATTTTTATATCACTAATACCACTACAAAAAAACACTTAGACCAAATGTTCTCAACATCTTTTTACCAATGATCCCTTTTCCTCTTAATTTTTTTTGTGGACCCTACATACATTGCACAGAAAAAAAATATTATATTTTTTTCGTTACATTGTTTCAAATTGGAAAAATATTTTGATACTGAAGCTCTGAATTCCAGTAAAAGTAACTACTGTACATATAACTAACACCTTATCCTTGCTGAGAAATGTAATTTAATTCCAAACAAACGTTTTCAGCCTGATTCACAGGCCATCTTCAGGTTGAGAACCAAATTTGAATTAAAGGATTCCATTAATGGAATACAAAATTCAAAATTAAATAAGCAACGGAATAAGATAAAAATAAAAATTAAATATTAAATAACCAACGGAGTAACATAAAAATATAAAAAAATGTACATAGAAGTATTAAGAAATACAATTACTAACACATCCAATAAAATTACTATTTTGACTGGTTAGAGCTCTTATTAAATCTCTTAACTATAAACTTCCATGCAGAGAGAAGACTTTCTGCATCCCTCTCATTTAAACAGCCTTCCTGTATTTTACTCCTATAAATCTGCAACTTTTCAGCTGTCAATGCCAAAGATGGGGAAGATAAAGGTTCTATGATGGTTGCCTCATTCCATTTGACTACAGATCTTGGTGTTTGTGCTATTTGGGACAAAATTGTTGCATTAGACTCCTTTCTGATATTATAACTATATTCCTTGATTCTATGTTCCAAACTCCTGGTGGTTACTCCAATATAGTCTTTTTTAATGCCCAATTGCATATTTTCATAAGGAGTTCTATAAACCCCTGCTTTCTCCTCTGACATTATAGCATCCTTATCATTTCTTAGGATTCTGTATAAATTAGGGGCCCTTTTTATAAGCATTCTCGAACCTTTTCTGCGAGCAAGCTCTTTCATAACGCTATTCATACTTTCATTATATGTAAATTTTACGATTCCAGTGGGAGCATTTTTAAAAGACTCTTTCTTGTTGTTTGCTTCATACTTCCTAACCATTCCCAGAATTGCACTTTTTCTGTAACCTAGGGTCTTGGCCACGCTCATTATTCTATTTATTTCTTTACTTCTGTCTTGTACTGTTTCACAATACAAAAATGCCCTTCTTATTAAAGCTCTGAAAGCTGCAATTTTATATTTATACGGATCCTTGGATTGGGAGGGAATATACAATAGGTTGTGGGATGGTTTAATAAAAACACTAGTGGACAGAAGGCCTTTTTTGAATTTAATACTGATGTCTAGAAAATGTAGATCCAAAGAACTCTTCTGCTCAAATCTTAAAGTAATGGAATCTTTTAATTCAAATTTGGTTCTCAACCTGAAGATGGCCTGTGAATCAGGCTGAAAACATTTGTTTGGAATTAAATTATATTTCTCGGCAAGGATAAGATGTTAGTTATATGTATAATGATTTGCTGAGTACTTTATGATGTAACTACTGTATTTATGAACTAGCACTTTTAATACCTCTTACCTTGTCAAGATGGAATTTTGCACAGAACTGAAGGCTAGGGTTAAAATAAACTGACTACCTTTATAGTGGGAGGGAGGCTATAAAGTTTTTAGCCTCCCTCCCTAATCTTCAAGATCTGGAACAAACTGATGCAAAACATTTAGAAATATCACTGTCAAGTGACATGATGCTGATGGTACAAGATTTTCCTAACAGACCCTGGTTTTATAATCTCTTTTTGACCTTTGTCAATGAGATATATATGTCGTTTACGTATTCAATATTTTAAATAATTTATATTTTAACCCTTATGCAAGAAATGAGTAATAAATAAATTGACAATATACTGTATATACTGTAGAAATTTAATTTTCAGTAAAACAATTGTTCTGAAGTAGAATTACCCTATAGACCAACGGTGGGCAACCCCCGGCCCGCGGGCCAGCTACGGCCCGCGAAAAGTTTCTATCCGGCCCGCGAGATGTTTAGAAGAAATTATAAATAAATATTTTTCGACGTAATTCGTCTAGTTTAAATTGAATATTATTTTCTGAAGTGTTGTGGCAGCAATGACAGGAAAAAATAAGGGAGTCATTTCCTTATTCAAACAAAAAATGGGAGAACAGAATTTTTCTAAATTATTTATATCTCATCGCATCATCCATCAAGAAAATCTATGTGCAAAAGCTATGCAATTAGAAAATGTAATGTCTGTCGTATCCAACTACATAGTGCTGT